CGTTTCAAAATCATCTCGGCTTTGAGATGAAGACCCGGCAAGTTCTTTACCTTTGCGGGATTTCTTCCTCCCAATCTCGTTCCTTCGATTGCGTTGGAGGTTACCCAAATCAACCGAATATCTACCACCTTCCATCTAAAAAATGTAACAAATATTAATTCACAATAAATATAATAATGGATACAAAACTAATGCAACTAATTAAAACTATTTTAATTAATACTTCAAACTAATTTTGTGCAAAGTAGAATTAATGTGTGACTCTACAATTAAAATTATAGCAACTTTTGAAGTAAATAACTAGTACAAGTAAAAATGTAACAACAATGCTAATTAAGTAGTTAACTAGTATAGTGACAAATGTAACAACTAGTTAAATAAAATGTGAAGTACTTTAATTAGTATAATGAAAAATGTTACAATAATGGTAATGAACTAATTAACTAGTATAATGAAAAATGTAACAAGAATGCTAATTAACTAATTAACTAGTATAATACTAGTTATAGTAAGTAATATATAATACAATGTTTATATTATATAATATATAAGTACACTACTATAAGATGAGTAATACACTTATATTTTATACTTTAATATATAAAGTATATATTAAGTAGATGTAGAATGTATGTATTAAGTGGATATAATAATTGTATAAGAATTAAATATTAGAGTATAATGGAGAATTGGAGATTGGAAAATAAGTATATATAAAATATAAGTAGAGAAGTAGATATTATTATGTATTAAGTATATAGTAATAGTTTATAAAGTATATTTAATACTTTATTATATAAAGTATATATTAAGTAGATATAGTATGTATGTATGTATTAAGAGATATAAGTAGAGATTAAGTAGATAAGAAATATAAGTAATATAGTATATGTAGATAATAATATATAAGTAGATATAGTATGTATGTATGTATTAAGAGATATAAGTAGAGATTAAGTAGATAAGAAATATAAGTAATATAGTATATGTAGATAATAATAAATAAGTAGATATAATAATTGTATAAGTATTAAATAGTAAAATAAAATATAAAGGAGAATAAGAGAATTTGAGAAGATGAATTACCTAGTTAGCTTTTTTCCGTTTAAAACGCGTTTTAAACACGTACCGTTTTTTTGAACAAAAAAACACGTTTAAAACGAAAAATAATGTCGGTCCGTTTAAAAAGGAAAAAAACTTCTACTTTCCGTATAAAACGTATTTTTTCCGTATTTTTACAAAAAACAGAAACATGAACTGATCAATTCAATGAGTGCATACAATGCACAGGAGATCAACAATAGCTTAAAAGCAAAAAAGGAAAACACCGTCCTCGTGACCACGTGTTTTTGTATGGTTACAATGCAATTATTAGATACTAAAATTGATTGCATGATGGCTAAAGCTAGCTTCCTAAAATTAAATACCAAAACGTTAAATACTACTGAATTTATGATGTTTTCCCAATCAAGCATATCAAAATTAAATTTTTTCTAAACCTGACATATGTTTAGTATACTTTTACAGTTTTACACATAAACAATAATAAGCGTAGGAGTCATACAATGTACTTTTCTCATATGTCATCCATCATCTTGATAAAATGATGAGTTTAACTTCAGCATTATTTGATGATCATGTAAAGATAATGATTTTAACTTCGCCTCATCTATGGTTATTATGTCTCATTTTTAGACTTTATTTTGCAAAATTATGCCTTGGACTTAATTACTATTTTTATTTTTGTCATCGACTTATGCAATTACGAATTATTCTTTGATGTGGTAATGAGATTTGCTACTTGAATATGTGTATACTTTTATTTCTTTTTACTATATATCTTATTTTGTGAAGTATATACTTTAAATGATCAAAATAATACTCCGTATTTTTTATCCGAATTTTTGTAACATATACCGTATTATACACGTATACGTATTCACACGTTTTTTAAAAGTCAACGCATTTTTCAACGAATTTTTGACCGTTTTTTTTCAATCGTGTTACCGAATAAAACACGCACGTATTAAACCTCGTTTAATTCTCGTACCGTATTTAACTAACTATGGATGAATATGGAGAATTGGAGATGAGTAGAGAGTAGGATTTAGGTAGAGTTGGAGAAGAGGTGTGAAAAAATGTTTAAAATTAGGAGTATTTATAGGGTTTTTTTTTAAACCCCCACCCCTCACCCCCACCCCCCCACCCCCCACCCAAAGCCCCCTGACCCCCCCCCCCCCCCGGTACCACCCAACGGCTATATAGCCGTTTGGGGTGGCCGTTGAGCCAAAAGAAGCAAAAAAAAAAAAAAATTAAATTTTGGACCGTTAGGCCCGGGCCCGGGCCACCAAAATGCAGACCCGAGCCCGGACCCGAGAACCGGGCCGGTTCCGAGCCCGCACAGTGGCGGGTCGGGCCGGTCCCGGGCCGGGCGGCCCGAACCGGGTCCACGCCTAGGCCGGTTTTAAAAGGGCTTAAGCTCGTGACCCGCCCCAAAACCCCTCCCGGGTCGGGCCCAAGGCCCGGTCCCGGTCTCAGCCAACCGGTTCAGGTCAGTTCAGAACAGTGCCGGGCCGGTCAACGGGTCAGTCAACCCAGGCCCGGCATCCCTAGGCGTAGTGGCCTATGATTTACTCAACGCCAATTTTATTACTACATGAATTTCCTAAAATTATTCATATGCAATTAGTGTCTCATTATCACTGATCAACTTAACCAGGACAAAAACAATTTGGAAGCGGAAGATCAGGCGCGGAGGGAAATCTTATTCCATTGACAATAACCTTCGAAGCAATGTTATAAAAAATATGCATATTATTGGGTCTAACCAGGTAGGTATTTCAAGAAAAGGACATGTAGGCATTAACACTAGATTTTTTTCAATGCAGTCATTGGTACTCATCTTTGAGTTTTCACAGTAGTTAGCTCTTTGGAACACTTTGGAAGACATGTACCAAAAGTGACATTACCATAATAGTCCGAGCACTAAAAACTATAGCTTTGACAGTATGCGAGTAATCCAGTTTTAACATAAAATAACCCTTGTTAAGAAAACTAGGCACCCTTTACCCACAATTTTCTTGATCACTTAAAATCATAGTCTACAAGAAAGCAGTTTTGCATCATAACCAACTAGTTGTCTTAAGTTTACACAATTAGTGTTGCAATAGCAACATACCACACCAGACAAGAGTTTAGGCCAAAACTAAAGAAAATATATAGCATGTCAGTTCCACAACATAAACGATGAAGGCCTAAAGTTCCATAAAATTGAGGGTGGCAGGCAGTATATATATTGTGACAGGATCCCAAAAGAGATGTTTTGTTGCAATGCAGGATGGGATCAGGTCTTCTTGCCTTGAGAGCGCCAGCTATAGCATAAATTTAAAAAAAAAAAAAAAGCAAGACTCCCGGAATATTTTAAAAAGAGAGATTCTGCATAAATCATAACTATTGCATTTTCTTGGAGCTGGAAACTTTCCTAACAATGCTAGACTTCAATTTAAGTGCAGACGAAATAAGTTCGAGTACCAAGTGATCTACTTCTTCCTCCTTTTTCTCGTATACCACGAAAGCAACAAACGAAACTGGGATTACTGCAGCAATGAGAAAAGAAATGGTGGTTAGACCCTCTTGCTGGCAACTGTGAACTTTAAACTGCACATTTCTATTCCAAGTGTTGCTCTCAAGCGCACATAAGATGAATGTATTTCAGGACATATTAGAATTGGAGACAAATATGTTAGAACATGAGCGAAAGAGACGAACCTATTATGAATAAACTGTGTAGTGAAAAGGTCCCCAAGATGCTCAGAATCGATAGAGAGGAAATCACCTGTTCCAAAAAATAAGGTTTACGTGACAAAATTGGTTAAAATGCAGCATATTTCTCAGAATCAAATATAATAATCATTTTAGTCAAATTATCATATTCCTTTACCAAGTTGAATTTGCATTCTTTTTTTCTCTCTGTAGATGGATTCATGTGCACACTTTTTGTCACCAACATAAATACTTCTTTTTGTGTAGCAAATAATTCTATCTTATTTTCCGCTTGTGAGCAAATTCCCTCCAAAGTGAGTTTATTCAACTCGGATAAAGGAAAGGTCTACTAAGTGCACATTATAGTGCGCCTAGGAAAGGTCTACTCAGTCCACTTCTGTTTCAAATAGAGTTGATTCAATAAGGCACTAGAAACTGTAAAATTTTGCAGCCTCCCAAGAGAATTAATAATATAATCACTGGATTTAGACATGGCAAAAAAATGTAGTTCCAACTGATTCTGGTTTAGGCCAACTAGTTTGGAGCTCCTACGTTCTAGTAATAGAGGCTTTGCCTAATTAACTAGCCTTCAAAAATCATTTTCACTCTTTCTTGCTAGTTTGGCTGGTGGCACACGTCAATCCCTTTTTAGTTTGGCAAAGACAAATTTTCAAGTCAAAGTTGTTCAATTTTGACCGATTATATATTTATACACGGTAATATTGATAATAAGAAAATTATATGAAAATGTTCTTTGTTGAAAATATTATCATAAAAGTATAAATTTATTAACTTTTACATAAATATATTAGTTCAAATAATGGATCCAAGTTTATCATCTTTGACTGGAAAAGTCAAAGTTGGCAAACTAAAAAGGGACGGAGGTAGTATTTAAAAGGTCTTTAAAAGCTCTTGGTTGTATGTTTGGTACAGCACTCTGGGAATTATTTTAAATTTTAAGATCTTTTTTGAGAAACAACTCTCAGGGCCTGTTTATTTACGACTTAATGGACTTAATGGGGTTGGTGACTTAATGATTCAGCCATTAAGTCGTGTTTACTTATGACTTAACGAAAAACATAACTAATTCGCTTAGACCAAAATTAAGTTACTGGTTCAGCCCAAAAATAGGAGTCCTTCCGCTGCAGACTATAGAACAGGCCCTACTTCTCTTTTTTAACCCCATGATCATTTCTCTAATCAGTGGGTTTCCCTCATCTACTACAGAGTTCAGACAACGGAACAGACCATTTATACACACTGGAGCAACTAACCAGGGCATCTCCTCCACATCTTCATCATCGGGTATATCTTTAATACGAAGTATAATCTCATGATTTTATAATTTTACATTTTCATCGGGTATGAGTTCTGGAATTTATCCCATGATTTGTATGACTTCTGACATTTAAATTTCTTTTTCTAACTAATGAATTTATTCTAGGTAATTTCTGCCCAATTGGGCAGCTTTTTTGCATCTTCGGCAAATGTTTGCGGCAAAAACCAGCACGTTATTGCTACATATGTTTTTATTCTGCGTATCTTCTGCCTTTCATAACAGTTTTTTTCCTGAATATATTAGCAATTATTAATCCATTATGTTGGCAGGCTATATCTGGATTTATTATAAGCATTTTCTGCATATTTGGGCGGCCTTCTCTGCATTTTAAGCGGATTTTTCTGTGAATTGCAGCAGGTTAACAATAGATTTTTTCTACTTTGCATAACAGTTTTATTCTCCATGTTATTGACTACTTTGTTTAAGTTATTTTATGCATATTTGTATAGTTTTTTGCAATTTTAGGAGGTTGTTGTTGCATAATTTTGTGATTGCTGTGATCACTATGTATTTCCGGTATAAAGAAATATGGTGATTAGTGATTGTTATCATAATATAACATTCAAGTTGAGTTGTTTGAAGAATGAGACGACGGCCTATATTCAACAATGAAACGCAAGATGAACACAAAGAAAGTGAAGAAGAAGTAGATGGAACAAAAGGGGTACACAAAGCTTATAATATATGATGAATTTGCAGAATGAAATTGTTACTAAGCTAGTAGTCAATGCTTAAATATAAGATGTTGTCGTAATATTATTGAAGTTATGCTAGTTATGAGATTTTTAAAGTAATTCATATTATTATAATTTTTCGGCATTCGAAATTATGTTACAGAACGAGAAAAATGAACTGACGATTAAGGTTCAACACTTGTTCCTGACAGAAGGGTAAATTGGTTATTCACTTATTTGACATTATTTACTATTTAGACTCCTCATTCAGCTCACAATGTAAACAATTCGTTATCACAATGTCACTTAATCCATATAGACATCTTAATAAAGACATACATCTTAATCCAGACAGGATTTCATGATAATAATAAAAACAGCCTCTTAGTATTAGTTAGTCAAAACAGTTTGCTATACCAAACAAGATTACATAAAACAGCAAGCTTTCATCAAACAGTTACAACCTTGATGAGAGTCTGGGCACTCTAAAAGTTAATCCCAATAGGGATTTCTCTAGAGTCTAGAGTTTACATCAGGAGGGCCAAAAGGGTGAATGATTAATTAAAAGATGGGAAGGCCAAACTAACTGTGAAAGTTGGGTCCAGATAAGCAGGAGGGCGAGAATAAAAGGCCTGCTGACGAGGGAGAAAGGATATTCTGGAACTAGTTAGTTTGTTGGGAGTGGGGCCCTCTCGAATGGCTTACAGTTTGTAATCTCTTTTCTGCAAGTTATCGCTCATTTCCATTGTTAGTTCTGAGATTTTAACGACATCAGGAGGTTTTTAATGCTTACTCTAAAACTCTTCATATAAACAGTAGTCATCTTTGTTGTTTCTCTTCTTTTTTCTCTTTTTTTCTCTCATTTATTGTGTGTCAGCTAAATCTGGACTACATATCTTTCCTTCTCTAGTTTTGGACTAAGCATTATATTCTTTCTATTTTAACAATTGATTTTTAAGTAGCTGGAATTTTCTATTACTTAATATATATTGAATATACTTTATATTACCTAAAAGAATAACTTTTCAGATTTAGCAATTATATATGTTAATGGTACAACATACCATGTACTGAAATAGCATACCAAAGAAGCCTACCCCCCATGTATCGGGTTTTTGTTCCGCGTTCCGGAGCGTACCGTGATCCATGTGACAAGGTACAGTACTGCCTATCATCCTCAAACAGATGAGCAGACTGAGATGGTTAATCGTTGCCTAGAAACTTATCTGAGATGCGTAACTGGAAGCAGACCTAAGCAATGGCCCAAGCGGTTACCATGGGCTGAATTTTTGGTATAACATTTGCTATCATGCTTCATTACAAACCTCATCTAACAAAGCCCTATATGGTCATGAGCCACCAAGTTTGATTAAGGGAGATGCCTCCAGGACTGCAGTGGAAGAAGTCACCGAGCTCACAGATGAAAGAAATGAGGTGATTAAGGAGTTGAAGTAAAACTTAGTGATGGACCAAAATAGGATGAAACAGCAGGCTAATAAACATAGAAAGGATGTTTGGTTGGAAGTAGGAGAAAGGGGTTTTCTGAAGATACAGCCTTACAAATTGGAAAATCTAGCCAAGAGAATTAATCAGGAATTAAGCCCAAGATTGTATGGGCCATTTGAAATCGACAAGATCAATCCTGTTGCTTACAAGCTAAAGCTCCAAGAGGACTGTATTGTACATACAGTGTTCCATGTTTCATTCATCATCATCATCATCATTACCCCAGTGCCGCAAAGGCTCCCACCTACGGTGGGGTAAGGGGGGTCGGATGTACGCAGCCTTACCTCTGTGCTAAAGCACACAGAGACTGTTTCAGGATACTCCAGTGTTCCATGTTTCATTGCTAAAGATAATTGTGGCTCCTAATACTCCAACTCAACCCCTACCTAGCTGTTTATCTGAGGAATGGAAACTTCAAACTCAACCAGACGAAGTGTTGAATGCCAAGGAAACTCCCAACGGAAACAAATATATATATATATATATATATATATATATATATATATATATATATATATATATATATATAGTTCACTGGAAGGATTTACCTAACTATGAAGACTCCTGGGAAGAGTTATCCCAGTTCCAGACTATGTTTCCCGATTTTCACCTTGAGGACAGGGTGAGTTTTAAAGGCGGGGTCCAGGCACTCTAAAAATTAATCCAACAGGGATTTCCCTAGAGTTTACAACAAGAGAGGCAAAAGGGTACATGATTAATTAAAAGATGGGAAGGCCTAACTAACTGTGAAAGTTAGGTCCAGATGAGCTGAAGGTAGAGAATAAAAGGCCTGCTGATGAGGGAGGAAGGATATTCTGGAATTTGTTAGTTTGTTGGGAGAGGGGGGCCCTCTCGAATGGCTTCCGATTTGTGATCTATTTCTCTTGAGGGAGGAAGGATATTCTGGAATTTGTTAGTTTGTTGGCTTCCGAATGGACCCAGTCAAAGAAAATAATTATTTGATCAAATGCATTTAACTAGAAGATACATTTTGAAATGTGTAAAGATTACCTTGAGGAATAACACCCAATCTGCTCCTCTGCAAATCGATTTAAAGCTATCTGCTGCTGAATTCCAAAAGGAAGCTACCAACCCAGCTACTTGGAAAGATGTCTCCTCTGAGACAGTGAACTTTGACTCGTGAATTTTCTCAATATTATATCCAAATCTGCACCAAAAATAAGTATATACATCAGAACTCCGGAAATTGGCCCATCTTCCTGTCTGTTCTATAAAGTTTTCCACTTACAAGTGCATATCCAATAGCATAATTTTTTAAAATTCTGAATGTCAGTATCTCACACTGATGCTAAGTGGAGAGGAAAGACATCCTGGTACACTTGTAAAATCCACTATGCATTTATTAAAGAATAAGACATGAATCTACAGGTCTTTTATGGTTTTAATCCATTACAGCTAGAAACATGGTACACAACAACACGGGCATTTCCTTCTTTCCCTCAGTAGCATGCAAAGGGTTATGCCAAGTTCAGTTAAGGATATTTAGAGGGTGGACTGGAGGGGCTTCCACAGAAATGTGAAAAGATGTGAAGTAAGAAGTTTGCCCCCCACCTAATTCATTGGTTAGTGAACTGAGAGGTACAAACATTATTTGAACGCTTAGAAATTCTTGAGAAAGATGGCAAAATTCTAAAGCATAGTGGCCTAGTCTTTACTTGGGGACTCATGGAGAATTCATGGATGGTTCCTTCCCTTTGGATGAGTTTTTCTATAAGCAAGACCTAGCCTAGATGGCTACACGCCTAGACATATTGAAGCTTCCCCCAATTTTTATTTCTTTTCTTCTTCGTTTCATTGATAGCTTGTAATTTAATTATCTTTATCAAAACAACAATAATAAAGCCTTTAGCCCAGATCAAAACAAAAACAAAAAATGAAGATCAGTTATCACAACAACGTTTAACTCATATTATGCTCCATATCAGCTAAACTTGATGCTCATGTGAACATCATTTCATGATTTTTCAAGATTCTCTCTAATTCATCCTGAAAAGAAAATAAATGTGTGACTAAAATGCTCCACTTGGCGGTTTTTCATCCACCCCTGATCTGGCATGAAATTCACCTTCCATGTGCGAATCATTATAATGCATAAAAAGCTTGGTTAATTACTAGGACATCCGCTTGGGAAAAAAGGCTATACGCTTCACATTCGTACAAGGAGAAGGAATTTAACGTATATCATAATAATGTCAAACACAAAGACCCAAAAAAACATCAACGATGTGCTCATAATTAATAATTGCTGTTCACAAATATGGAAAGAACAAACGATGAAAAAATAAAGACATGGATACCTTTTTTCTCTTATTTGTAACATAATTTTCAGAAAATTGTGACCTTATTTAGAGGTTACTTAATGATGGCATGAAATTCACCTTCCATGCGCGAATCATTATAATGCATAAAAAGCTTGGTTAATTACTAGGACATCCGCTTAGGAAAAAAGGCTATACGCTTCACATTCGTACAAGGAGAAGGAATTTAATGTATATCATAATAATGTCAAACACAAAGACCCAAAAAAACATCAACTATGTGCTCATAATTAATAATTGCTGTTCACAAATATGGAAAGAACAAACGATGAAAAAATAAAGACATGGATACCTTTTTTCTCTTATTTGTAACATAATTTTCAGAAAACTATGCCCTTATTTAGAGGTTACTTAATGATGGCTTTAATTTATCTGTACTGAGAAGCTGAGTAAACAGTGTAAAGAGAGGCTTGCACATTGAAACAAAGTGTAAAGAGAGGTTCTGGGGGGCTCAGGGATGGGGTGTCATCCTTTTTTTGTAAAGAGAGGTTTGCGCATTAAAATGCATAACCTTGATAAAATGTGATGTCCTCATTTCCAAGCCGGGCAGACAGTTCAAAACAAAACATTGCAACTATGTTTCAGGCATTCTACACTAGAATTTTTTAGATAGGAGAAAGCAGATCTAATACATTTAAAGTGGTTTCCATGTGTTTGCTCTGTGAGAGAGAGTGAGAAAGACATACATTTTATGTGGCAACCTTCCATGGATGAACAGGAAAATGGATGCCATTAAGAGTAGCTTGGAAATTGCTGTTATCATGGTATACCGAACTGCTATGAAATTGAAGTAAATTGTTGCAAGGGCTAATGCTGTAGTGAGTGTTTGCTTTTTGTCCCTCCAGAGAAGTGTGTCAGCAACTGCAACATGTAATGCCATAGTTATTATGGTTGAGAATCGTCTTCATAACTTGATTAAAAGTAATATTGGAAATTATGATACTCCTATATAAGATGCAACTTAGTCAAAGTCAATTAGATTTAAGTATTTAACAAATCCTACTACGCACTGAATCATCCATCCCTTCATCTTATGTTAGCTTTGATTCTCATGCAAAATGCTGGAATCCATCCCTTATAGAGGACGAAAAAGCAGTGCTTTTAGGGGAATAAAAGCAGTTTAGGGGGGATAAAAGCAGTGCTTTCACTTTGCAGAAATGATATGTAAAATCAACAATAATTGAATTATGAAAGTTTTGTTGTTTGGGCACATAAAGTGGTCCATCTTGTATAATCTTCAGAAAAAAAGAACGATTTCACCATTTTGTATGACTTTCTAGAAATATAAAAGGTGTCCATCATATATCTGTTTAGGGAAATGTACTATATAAAGCACTTCATCCAAACCACACTAAAAGATTGAATCCAATCGCATAGCTCGTTCAAATCACGATCTTATGAACTCGTTTTAAGATGCCACTTTGGAATTCAATTAACCATTTCAACAGAGAGTGAAAACAATTTGAGATGTTGGGGTTCACAAAAGAGATCATAAAAACAGTGCATCACCATTATAGCACATATAAATAGGCAGCCAAGCATGCATAATCAGGTCGCATAATATGAATATGTATATAATCATCACGGTATGGGTTCTGCCAAAGGATAACTAACAAAGAACTTAAAACATAACTATCTCTAAAAATAAAACCACACAAATTGGACAAGGACATACAAAAAAGTAGAATGTAGAGAGAGCTACTCATTCATACCTCTTCCATTTCCAAGAAGCATGGAAGCTTTAGAAGGCACACCCCTACTAGTTTTAATTTCAGCTCTCAAATGTGGGTATGAGTCAATTGTCCTTCTAAGACCCTCCTAGAGGAAGTCAAATCACATTGCCAGATACAAAAAGCGATTACTGAACCTATTGTTTACAATAATGAATCTTGTGTGATATCCATCCCCAACTACATTGAGTTGTGTCTTAGTTTGTGATATCATATATTGATATATTTGAAATAAGATGAAATTGGGTAATTTCAGTAGATAAGAGAAGAACCTGAAGTGAAACAATAGGTGAATAGCCCAATAGATCATTTGCTTTTAAACAACTAAATGTCCTGCTGCAGGTTAAAATTCTTATTCTTGAAGGTGTCAATTGTGGGACCTTCATTCCAAATGGGCCAAATAGCTTATATGTCCACTCCACCACATGAGCAATTGGCATCATAACATAGGCAGGAATATTAATGCTTGGCCTGCATACTACATAAAATCAGAAATAAAGGTATATATTTTAAACTTAAGTGTCAGTGAATCATGTGCCAAATAAATGTACTCATTAAAAGAGATGCAATAAAAAAAACAGGTTGAAAGGGAAAAAAATTGAAAGTCTTCCTTAGCAATTGGCATCATAACTATTGTTACACACAAGCACCCTCATATTAACTACATCCGTAAAGCACTTAACTCATAAACTACAGACAATATTCCTATATTGGAAATTGTTAGGAATAGTGCATGAAAGCTACACGTGTATTTCTCTGTAATAGAACGGTAGCTAGTAGTCTGTTAGGCTTCTGTTATGTTAGTTCGAAGTCTGTTGAGACTTTACTTGTATAAATACTCTGTAACAACTCATTCTCAATAAGAAGCTTTCACTTTCATCGTCTTCCTTGCATCTATTTTAATAGAAATCGGTCTAAAGTCTTAGAAATTTCCACAATTTCTTCCATCAAAGACACGAAACAAGGACAATCGAATCAGATAATTGAAAACAGACACTTAGTATGCTAGATATAATATATTTTGAATTGACGCAGCTACACACAATAATTTGATTGGTTAAAATGGGAAACTTTAATAAGCTTACAAAATATATGAGCTACTACTAGTTTGTTGCAATCCATTTTAGTTTTCAAATTGTAAATGAGATCCCTAGAAATATCAATGGCTACAATTGTGCATTATAAATTTATAATGTGCATTTTGGTACCACATATATCATCCTGCTTATGTGATAATTCAGAAGCTAAAGGACTTAACATTTTGAGCTAAAACAAATGTTAATCTTCAATTCCCAAGCAGAGGACTCTTGTACTCCAGAAAATATATTTTACTTATTTCATATATACAGTAACTATAATAGTAAATCATTCATTGATACACCAA